ATGTGGTCACCAACCACAAAGCAACTCTCCAAACCCCATTATTTAGGGGTTTTGTGGAGGTTTACAGTAAGGTGTGGGGGTGGGAGGTGTGTAGAGTTTCCATACCTTTTCAGGGCATACCACCGCCCAGCACCTATATGTGGTCACCAACCACAAAGCAACTCTCCAAACCCCATTATTTAGGGGTTTTGTGGAGGTTTAGTTATGTAGGCATGACTGATTGAATCATTTGCCATTAGTGATTAACTCAATCTCTGTTCCCTCTCCCCTCTCCAGGAGGTTGGGGATTGTGGCTGAAAGTTCCAAGCCTCTAATGAAGGCTTAGTCTTTCTGGTGACAAGCCCCCAACCTGAAGCTTTCTAGGGGCCCACCAAGTCACCTCATTATAACAAAAGATGCTCCTATTACTCTTATCACTCCGGAGATTCCAAGGATTTTAGGAGCTCTGTTCCAGGAACCAGGGACAAAGAGAAAGTATCTTTTTTATTATACCACAAAGCCTTTTTCTACTTTGAGGATGAAATGATTCTCACTTGGTATTTACTCCTTTTGCTACCCTGTGACCCATAACATTGCAGGAGAAATGGAGGGATTTTTTTCTTCTCCTTGCAGAAAACAATAGGTATGAGTAGATCTTGGTGACAGGAGGAAATAACCACTTAGTCATTTTTCTTAGCTGTCAGAGAAACACCTTTCACTTTCTTTTTCTGTCTTCCTCTAAATCCCTGAGGAAAACAGAACCTTACACACGATCCTAGTCACATCCAATTCTGAGCTGGTTGTCCAATGCCCACATGTTGGAAGCCCTTCCTACCTCAGACATCTGCAGATGAGCATTTCTCCAAAATCAGCTGTGTCTGGAACTCAGATATGAGGTCATATATTCAGGTTTTCATAAAGAAACTGAATTCCGTTTACATGACAACTATGTATTTATCTATTCTAAGGAGGTATGTTGGTCCAGGAACCAGGAACTCTAGATTCTTATGTGTTCTCCCTCACAAGCCCCAAAACTTTACATGTTCAACCTCTATAAAATTTCATCATTCGTAAGGATGCAGCAGAAATGTACTGAGGTTTGGGACAAACTTAGCAGGAACAGACCACTGAATAATACGTCCAGCGTCATATGGATACTGTCAAAGCCAGAATTTGAACCCAAGCAGTCTGACACCAGAAGTGATGATCTTATTATTCACCTCTGACCCCCAATCCTGCTTTCCTGCCTCCTTGAGAAGCCAACCCCACTGTTAGGACAGTGTCCTGTCATGGGAAGAGCTCATGATTTTAGCTGGAAAAACTGCTTAACCCTCTGAGCCTCAATGTTCTTATCTAGACAAATTAAGTGACAAAATGTTTGACTAAGCTGTTTAGAACTGTGGAAATCTGAGTCACTACAATTCATACTGTACGGGCAACAACTCCTTTTTCTCCACACCTGAGTTCAGCTTCCATCAGGGTCAGAAACCTGCAACTTCTGTCTCAGGCCAAATACTGGAAGACCCTCAGAAAAAGCAGCCTCCCCCAAAGTAGATACTCCAGGCTAATTTCTAGAATCCAGGGAGACTGTTTTGACCTTGATAGACCCATCTTATCAGAGAAGGAGATGGTAAGGCTAAAACCAAGCTTCACAAAGACTATTTTGGAGAGTTTTATATATTATACATCATATTTATTATATAACACTCCTCCAAGTTCAACAATTCCGCTGTTACCATTAAGTGTAAAGAAAGGCATGCAATCAAGAAAGTCAGGAAAAATGTTTCATTTTAACTCACTGAGGACATGTTGTCTTCAAAGTACCAAAAAATCTACTTTTCCTACCATGAGGAAAAAAATAGAGAAAGTTATGAAAGAGCTATTATTACCCTTGGCCACCCCAAGCACCAGCCCATATAGTTCCAAAGGGAAATTCTACCAAACCTTAGATAATTCCAATGGATTTTAAAATGTCCCAGAACTAAGAAAAGAAGGAATCTTCCAAATTATTTATATGATGAAATGATAACATCAATATCTAAAAGTGACAAATACTGCAAAAGAAAATGATACAGCAATCTCACTTATAAACATGAATGCAAACATCCTTAAAAAAAAGAGATCCAATAGTACATTAAAAAAAAATAATACCCATTAGTAAACCTGAAGAATACAAAGATCATGCATTGCCAGTAACTCTAAATATAATTCGTCATGGTGGTGAATATACAATAACCCTAGGATCATCTTCACAGATTCTGAAAAGGTCCTTGACAAAATTCAACAACCATTGCTGATAAAACACACACACAAAAAGGTAATAATGTAAATAATTTCTACAAAATCAGGAACAGGACAAGGATGTTTTACTATCATCCACGACTATTTTTCATTAGACAGAAGGTACTAGCCAAGGAATTAATAAAGAGAAAGAAGTCAGAAGTATTCAAAATCATAAAAGAGGCAAATTATCACTATTTGCATATGACTAATTCCTCAACTTACAACTTACGAGAACCATTTGAAAAACTACTATAAACAGTAAGAGAAAATTCAGTACATAAATAGGCTATCAAATAAATATGCAGAAATCAATTATTTTCAAGTACACAGGCAAGCTTTTAGAAAATATAATGGAAATATCCTCATTTACCATAGAAAAGACATATCTAGTCATTTATTCCTAGACCTGTGAAAGACTTACTTTAGGGACATTAATTTAAAGACAAACATTAATACTCTCTAGAAAGACACAAAGGATTAAATCAGTTCTATCCTAAGGTTTATTATAAGATCTTGTAACTACATGGAAAAAATGACTGTTAGAAACAACTTCATTCTGTCCAAATCAATAATCCTTGGTAAAAGTATGACATGTTTCTTTAAATAAATCCTTACATATTCTGAATTTCATCTACAAGTGGGTTTTGAACAAATAGATAATGTAAATACAGAACCAAGATGAGCAGGTGATGACACACTTGGAATGATAAATTATCAGACATGTGACTCTCTTAAATATGAAAGTGATAACTTTCAACAAGTATTGATAGTCAACTCTGTACCCCACAAACACATATAATCAATTATGTTTCAATTTTTTTTAAAGTGATAACTTTCAGAGCCTGAGAAAGTGGGTGATAGAAAACTTGATATGTTCTCTTTTCTTCTTTTAGCCATTACATAATTCGTATAACTTCGTATAATGTATGCTATACGAAGTTATTACGCTCGGCGGGAGCGCCACCGCGCTCCCAAGCGGCGCACTGTAGCAGTGTGCCACCGGGCCGGCCCAGGAAGTCTTTTTAAAAAATGGAAAACTACATCATTTGGATAGGAAGACTCAGTATGTTAAAGATTGTTGTCTCTAAGTTAGTTAAGTATATTATGACTCTAATGAAAAGTTTTTGTTTGAAATAAGATAAGCTGACTTTGAGGTTAATGTAGTAATATAATGAACAAAATAACAAGAAACACTCTGAAAAAGAAGTATAATGGGGGGTTTTAGCATTACCAGATTTAGAACTAATTAGAAACTCTAAATCACAGTTTTGTATACAAAAAGGCATCTTAAAATAAAGTCAGTGGGTAAAAGATGGACTACTTAGTAATTGGTGTTAGGGCAGCCAAATAGCCATTTAAAAAAAAAATTGGATCCTTACCTCATACTATACCTTGGGATAAATTCCAAATAGTTTAAAATTTAAATATGAACAATGAAACCACACACACACACACACACACAACCTTGGGATTCAAAATCCTGCAGGTTTAAAGGAAAACAGGAAACAAAAACAAAAATCTCCAGGCCCAAAAGGCTTTCAGAAAAGCCAAAGACATATGACAAACTTGGAAAAAAATAATCGTAATTCACATCACAAGCTATTATCATACCTCATATCACTAATACATAAAGAGCTACTAGAGCCAATAAAGAAAGGACAAAATTATTAAGGAGAGAAATGGGATAAAGGATATGGATAGATAGTTAATGGAAATGAGAATACATATGACTATTAAATGAAAAGATATTTAACTTCACTCATAATAAGGAAAAGCAAATTAAAACTGATAGGCTGGCCAGTTTAGCTCAGTTGGTTAAACCCCGGTGTTGTAACACCAAGGTCAAGGGTTCGGATCCCCTAACTGGTCAGCCACAAAGAAAAAAAAAAAAAGAGGAAAAACACAAATCCTGATAAACCACTTTTTCAACTACATTTGATGGTTTAGCCTGTTGGCTAGGCTGTAAAGAAATATCCATGTTCAGCAATTGCGGGTGGGAGTGTCAAGTGGTACAACATGCATAGAAAGCAACTTAGCAATATCTATAAAATTTCGAATGAGTACATTTGGCCAAAATTCTTGCTTTTGGGAATTAATCCTACCATATAAAGCAGCGAATATAAGAAGCTACAGATTATAAGGTCCAACATTAGTTTTATGAAAACCTAAGGAAGAAATGCTGTATGACACCATCAAATGTAAGAAGTACCCCAATTTCAGAAATATTAAAATATGAAAAGTGCATTTAGAATTGAAACAATACTGTATCTGTGCACATGCCACATGGTATGCATACAAGATGAATTACTACAGCAATTTTTTGCCAACAGAAAAAGATGGGAAAACACCTAAATGCCCATCAATATGTTCCTGGTTAAGTAAATTACAACATAACCACAAAATGGAATAAAATGCAACTCAAAAATGATAAAATATAGTTTGGAAGGATCTTCAAGACGTGTTCTTAATGAAAAAGCAATGTATAAACCAATAAATATAACGTGCCAACTTTTGTGAAGAAATTAATAAAGTAAAACCCAGAATTTTATTTGCTTGTGGGAAACCAGGACAGAAGAGGGACTCTGGCTACCATTAGAGGTTGTGGTAGATACTCAGTGGAGGGAGACAAGGATGTTAGATTTTTCACCGTATATTTCATATATTTTTGGTTTGTGAATAGATTATTTGCCAAAACCCCACAAAAATCAAAAACTGAATGAAAGAAAAAAATCCAGAAATTTGACATTTTCGAAAAGATGATTTATCATGTAATACATACAATATTTACTATGCTTGGCATTTGAAATGCCTCAGAAAACACAAAATCTTACATTAACAAGTTCTGTTGAATCTCACACGAACAGAGCACATATTCTGACAATTTCACGTTCTCGCCATACCCCTCTAGTCCTAATAACTCAGCAGTAACTCTTTATTCTTATCTTTGCTATTTGATAATTTTCTTCATCGTCATGGACTCTTTTATTGGCGATTTTTCTTCATCAAGTCTCAATTTTACTTTTTTTTTTTTACATCCTTCACTTTTTTTTCTTTTTTTTTGGTGGCTGGCCAGTACTGGGATCCAAACCTTTGACCTTGGTTGTGACAACACAGCGCTCTAACCAACTGAGCTAACCGGCCTGCCCTCCTTTACGTTTTAACGAAGTAATGTTGAGACATTTTCCATATGCAAGGAAAAGAATCTGGATCAATCACGAACACAAAGAATGTTAGAGGAGTCTTATAATGCTTTTGATATTTTTTCTATTTCTTATGTGATGCTTTTTCATCATGTTTTCTTTTTTTCCAACTGTGCACACTGCCTTATTCTCAATATACTTTGACTTTTTAAAATCAAGTTATAGGATTGTTATGACTGTCTTGAATGCAGAGGTTCTCTTGAAGTAGTTTCATCACTTAACTATTCTCTATTGATAAACTTATCACAACCAAGTTCTTCTGTCAGAGGATTGATAACTTCGGATGCAGTCAGAGCTATAGTAAATGTTAAGACATCAAAATCTATCCTCTGAGGATTACGCAGATATTCGGCATCAAACGCTGCTTCCCTTGCTCTGCATGCTTCCACAAATCGCCTGCGGCGTTCTTCAAGCTCCTGTATTCTGCCTGGGGCAATCGGGTAATTTTCCAGATAGTGACGGAGGAACTGCTGGTAATTAATTCCTAAAACGCTAAGTGGGTGACGGAGGCGGAGATAGGGCAACGCAGCCAAGCCTGCGGCGTTGCCGGACCTGGATCTGGGCCTACCCTCAGGCCCCTCTTCATCCAATGGTTCCCCTAACAACCGGGCGACCTCTGCCATCCGGGCTTCCCTGGATGCCGCCGCCGGGCTTTCTCTGGCCGCCGGGCCTCCCCTGGCCGCCGCCGCTGCCGGGCCTTCCCTAGCTGCAGCGCCTCCCCTGGCTGCTGCCGCTGCCGGGCCTTCCCTGGCTGCCGAGCTTCCCCCGGCTGCTGGACCTTCCCGGGCCGCCGCCGCTGCGCCTCTCCTGGCCTCCGCCATCAGGCCTTCACTGGCCTCCTCAGGCTGCGCCGGGGCCGGCTCCCACCTCTCGTCGCCTACCTCCGCCTGCAGGACGTCTCTGTCGCCATTCGCCGCGCCCGTCTGCGGGACACTGCTGTCTGCGGGCAGCTCGGACATCTCGCACCGCGATGTCAGCTCCGCTGCTCTCAGAAAAACTGGAATAACGGGACAGCGCGATTACTGGGCTGCATGCAAGTGCGCGTGCGTGAGCGCTAGGCGCATGCGTAAACGCCGTGTGCATAACAGCGGGAGCGAGTGTGTAGTCAACGGCTCACCTAAGAGCACTGCGCATGCGTCATCTCCTGGCGCCCGCGATCCTCTAGATGCCACCTAGCGTCCAGAAGCGCCAACGCATCTGAAACAGTAGAACGTCAAAATATTTTACATATCAACCAGTTTATAAGGAGAGTCTTACAAGATAGCTTCCTTTAGGCGTCCCCAAGATTCCATCCTTGGATGGTTCTCTCTAAATTCCTTATTTTCCAGTGATTACAATGCCATCTCTATTATATACCAAGATATTCTAGATTCATGATCTACTTTGTGGTTCTTTATTTATTTTATTTTATTTTTCCTGACTGGTAAGGGGATCACAACCCTCGGCACGGTGTTGTCTGCACCACGCTCAGCCAGTGAGCGCACTGGCCATCCCTATATAGGATCCGAACCCGCGGCCTCGGCGCTACCAGCACTGCAATCTCCCGAGTGAGCCACAGGGCCAGGCCTGTGGTTCTTTATTCTTTTCCATTCATTCAGTTGTCTATCTTCACCTATACCTATTTTCTTAGCTGTTAAAGTTTTATAATAATACTTGTTCTTGTTAGGTTTCAAATTGCTTTGGCTACTCTTGAACATTTTTTTTTTTTTGGAAATCTTATTTGTGCAATATAACACATATGCAGAATAGTGTACAAAATATAAATATGCAGTGGAATGATTTATCACAATGTGAACATCCATGTAACCACCACTCAGGTCAAGAAATTGAATATTTCCAGTATTCCAGACAGAGTCTCCACATTCCTATTACTATCCTCTCCTTTCTCCCCAGAGGTAACTACTATCTAGACATTTATGGCAATAATTTCCTTGCTTTTCTTTTTGTTTTACCACCTAAGGGTTCATTCTTAATACTGTTATTTAGTTTTGTCTACAAGATATACTCTTGTATCTGGTTTCTTTCATATAACATTATTTTTATGAGATTGACCCAAGTTTTTCATCGTGGTTATAAACGCAGTAGTTCCTTTTCTTGATAGTTACATACTCATTACCATTATTATTATTTTTTTTTTTTTCCTTTTTGTCTTTTTTCGTGTCCGGCAACGGATCACAACCCTCAGTGTCGCGCCCGTACCGGACTGGGACCGGCAACGGGATCACAACCCTGGTGTTGTTCCCACACCTCGCTCAGCCAGTGAGCGGGAACGGTCTGTATGTGGGATCCGAACCCTCGGCGGGAGCGCCACCGCGCTCCCAAGCGGCGCGCTGTAGCAGTGCACCACCGGGCCAGCCCCCATTACCATTACTTTTAACGAGTGCCGTAATATTACAGTACGAATCTTAAGTATTGGCTCTCCAATTACTTTCTCTTTATTCTAATTTATGTGAAAACATCATATAAGGAAATTCCATCTTTGATTTTTTTTTTTTTTTTTAAAAGATGACCGGTAAGGGGATCTTAACCCTTGACTTGGTGTTGTCAGCACCACGCTCAGCCAGTGAGCGAACCGGCCATCCCTATATGGGATCCGAACCCGTGGCCTTGGTGTTATCAGCACCACACTCTCCCGAGTGAGCCACGGGCCAGCCCGTCCATCTTTGATTTTGCTGGTAGTGGTTCTCATCATGATGCCATGATTCATGAGCATTGGCAAATAACTTTAGTGAGTCATTGTTCACTGCCCTGTCAGGAGTAGCTATGCTGATGCATTAAGTTCTCACCCTGCATTTTAATTTTCCTGGCCCAAGCACAAAATTTACAAAACACATCTGGTCTACTTGCTGCTTCAAACACAGCTTCCCACCAACATCTCTACAGTGACTAAGTGTGTGGCTCCTTTAAGGCAGCTCTCAGGCTAGGCTGGAGACAGAAGATCTATTGTTCCCACCCTCGGGCTGCCTGGAGAATCACAGATATTTGACAAAGGAATTCCCAGACTTAGGTAATAATATATATTATATTATATTAGAGGAGGAATTAGAAATTGTGATAACTTGCTATAAGCCTTGGAAGCAGATACAATCCACCCTTCTGAAACTAAAAGTCACCTTACTGTAGAAGCTGACAAGCCCTTCTATTTTCTGGGAATATAAATGGCTCTAAATAAAATTTTGGTTTATTACATAGAAATGATAAAAATTGTTCTAGGAAAATGAAGTGAACTAAAATGAGAAACTGAAAATAGAGGAAGGCAGAAAAACTTGATGATAATGTGGAGGGATAAAAACAAAAATATGAGATAAATTCCAGGTTAGCTATGGCTCCCCAGACTTTTCCTGCAGTGGCTACAGCATCTTTGTCTGTGACTCACTGCCAGTATTTCAGATCATTTGAGGATATTTCAACTATGCTGCAGACTAAACAATTAAGGGAGCTGGTTTCATGGGCACCACATCTCTTAAAATCATTATAGGAAGAAAAAAATAGAGAGGAGAACTTAAAGCCATGGTTATACAATCAACATTTTAAAAGAGGTGGTGAAGAGTTTATGAGGAAGGGGTCAGATCTGCTTTTAGAAAAGGCTGCAAATCCAGTAATAAAGAGCACTGTAGAAAATTGGTCCTTACTGCAAACATAGATTTCCTTTAAAAAATTAATTTCCATGTTGACCTCAGAATTAAAATCAGCACTTTTATGGATGTGGATGAAACCACAATTAGGGAAATAATGATATCATTTCTGCATCATTGTTACCCCTGATTTTCCTAAGCCTTAAGTGTAATAAGGCTTGTCAGCTTCTACAGTAAGGTGACTTTAATCTCAGAAGGCAGGATTGTATCTGCTTCCAAGGCTAATAGTAAGTTATCACAATTTCTAATTCCCAAGGGTCCGGCCCGTGGCTCACTTGGGAGAGTGTGGTGCTGATAACACCAACGCCACGGGTTCGGATCCTATATAGGGATGGCCAGTTGGCTCACCTTGGAGAGTGTGGTGCTGACAACACCAAGTCAAGGGTTGGGATCCCCTTACCAGGCATCTTTAAAAAAAAAAAAAACACAATTTCTAATTCCTACTCTAATATAATATATGTTATTACTGAGTAGATGGAGCTGAGACGACTTATTGGTAGAGACAGGTGCTTCTCTCCTCTATGCTTTGACCAGGAGATTTTCCAGATTTGTGTATTTCATCTGAGATATTTAATATTGTTGAGATTTCTATTCATGGTATTACCAATCTTATCTCTTCCCAAGGTTGTTACTGTGCTATAATAATTGCAAAACTGGCCCCAATTCTGCACCTTCCCTGTGTCTACACATTTTATAATGAATTTGCAGTTCCTCTCATCAAGGGGTAGATTCTCTTTTTCCACCCCTTGAATCTGATCTGACCTATGACTTGCTCTGACCAATAAAATGTGGCAGAAATGATGTGCAAAAGTCTTGAGACCAGTCCTCAAGAGGAATTTTATGCTTCTACTTTCTCTCCATCTCCTGTCTCCATTATGAGAATGAGTCTGAATCAGCTTGCTGGAGGGTGGAAGACCACATGGAGCTGACGAAAGAGGTCTCGGACAAGGCATTCAGATTGGTCATTCTCCAGCTGACTTACCAACTGACTCTTAGACTTACTGGTTAAATAAATGCTTATTGCTTTGTACCACAGTGTTTGATATGATTTGTTATGCAACATTATTGTGGCAGTAGATAACTGTTCCAGAAATTGGTACCAGGAGTTGGATTGGTACCTTGACCCAAGGCTACTGCCACATATTTTAGGATTTTTTTGCCCTAACAAAATCCTAAAATATGTGGCAGTAGCCTTGGGTCAAGGTAATGGATGGAAGGTAGAAAGCTGAAAAGCAAACTGTTGGCAAAGACTGGAAAATAGTGAGGAAATTGTTACTGGAGGCAGAAACAATGGTGGCCCATGTTATGATCTAGTGAAATAACTAGTAAACTATTGCGAATGGTTACTTAGAAGATAGAAAATATTTCTAATGAACTATTTTATTTGGATAAGAAGACCTTGAGGCATAATGCTAGTTACTCATTGCTGAACATAATAAGGCATAGCAACAGCAGGTTGAACTGAAGAAGGAGTTGGCTAATTTTCCAGAATAATTCAGAGGATTATGACTTGCTAGGTTAGAAAAGAAAACTTTTTCTCACATCCAGTCTCTCCATCCAGAAAAGGTTATCGAAGTGAAAAAGGCTGCAAATACCAATCAAATTAAAGGTGTGACTTTGTTATGATCTCTTGAAAATATGATGGGAGAGCACAGAAGAGCCTCCCAACTAGACAAAAGGGTTTCCTGGAAGCTTAAGGGCACCGTCCCTCAGAAGCCTGATCTTAAAATAGCAGGAAGTCAGTCTAGAGAGAGAGGTATGTCTTGAAAACAACAGTGTAGTTTCCGGAGTTTGGAGGGAATTATAGTCAGATACATAGTAAGCTTAAAAAGTTTAAGGGAAACTGTGTAGGCAAAGGGACTGCCAGCAAGGACTAAGAGAAACCAAGACCATTCAAGTTGCAAAAAGGCCTCTAGGATCCCAAATTTCTGATGCTCAGTCCCTTTACATTAGGCTGAACCCAGGTGAACCTATATAAAGACTGCCTCAATATCATTTGTACTCAGAGCAAAGTATCTATTCCATAACTTAAGGGCAACATTGCCTTCATTTCCAGTTGTTCAAAACTCAGCCACAGTATTTTTAAAATCCTCGGCTGAATATTATAGTGTCAAAGATTTATGGGTTAAACTTTTATGTATTTCAAGACTTGGTGGCATGGCTTATAATTAAAAATGCTGATGGGAACCTCCTTTTACTATGGACAAAGAGACTGTTGAAATGATGAATTCCCATGATAACCTCTAAATTAAAAGCAGCGTTTTATGGCTTCTGCACCAGGTTTATCAAACTGGTCAAAATCATCATCTGTGAGGAAGAGTCCA